AAGGCCGAGTTACTCGAGTGAAAGTCACGAACATTCGTAGCTCCAGCCAATCTGTCATACACAGTTACTAACCATCAGCGGAAATTCACTGGAAATAACACAAGTGACTGCGAGTGATGGTAAAAGATAACAGATCAACTTTAGCAACCATATATACGTAATAAACAGCTGTATGGCTGGTAATAAACAGCTGTATGACTGGTAATAAACAGCTGTATGGCTGGTAATAAACAGCTGTATGGCTGGTAATAAACAGCTGTATGGCTGGTAATAAACAGCTGTATGGCTGGTAATAAACAGCTGTATGGCTGGTAATAAACAGCTGTATGGCTGGTATAAACAGCTGTATGGCTGGTAATAAACAGCTGTATGGCTGGTAATAAACAGCTGTATGGCTGGTAATAAACAGATGTATGGCTGGTAATAAACAGCTGTATGGCTGGTAATAAACAGCTGTATGGCTGGTAATAAACAGCTGTATGGCTGGTAATAAACAGCTGTATGGCTGGTAATAAACAGCTGTATGGCTGGTAATAAACAGCTGTATGGCTGGTAACAAACAGCTGTATGGCTGGTAATAAACAGCTGTATGGTTGGTAATAAAAATGGTAATAAAAACAAAATAATCAACTTAAACATTAACAAAGCATAACATGATCACATATGTTTCTGAATTATCTACGTGAAGACAATGGTACTTGAAGAATACGACAGGGGGAAGGACGACTGGTGTTATATATTGTAGGGTCGAGAGAAATTACGTCACAACTCATACTGTTAGTTGGCAGAGAAATGGTAAATATAAACATCATTCTAGACGATGTAACCCTGTAATGAGGTGTACACGTTGGAGCATTATATTCTAAACAAATTAGGGTCCTCCATTATCACAGTAAAAAGTTATAGACATGCAAATGGATGTTGTCAACCTCGTTGTATGTTAGAGAATGTCCACACCAAAATTAAATCCTAATATTCTCTATTTTTTTTTATACAATATGAAAACTATTGCCGCTGAAATGATTGTTGGCGCTACAGGACATCCTATCACACACACAACTCAGGGACGGTACAAGAGCATTATTTATAAGTCTTTAATTTTTTAATATAATAACTAACAGCATTATACTCGATCATCCTTTCCCACACAGCCTCTGAAAATACAGCTGCATTAGTGGATATTTTTTGTCATGTGCATCATATTACAATGGCAAAAAATTGTCTTATAATAATATTGTCCTCTGTCTGAGTGAGAGACGTAATCGTTGGTGTGATGTGTCGTGACAGACTCTTGGGAAAGTTTGATACTTATTTTGACTTCGTATTTCATGACAAGTAATTTTGCACACCACACCTCCCCTCCCTCCCATTCCATCTCCAGGTGCTTCAAATTTCAGGATAAGTATTTTCTTCTTTATTTTTGAGTAGTAAGTATTCTTCCTCATTATTTTAGGAGTAATGACCATTTTTGTTTCCCTTCGTAACTATCAACGGTAAACCTAAGACGTTCATAAGAGTTCCTGTTGCGCTATACTACCTCTGGTGGCTTCCATAGTTATACCACCACCTCACTAGGAACCAAACATTATATACTAGATCTTACATTTAATTTAATTTTCCTTCCCTATTCACTCCTTTAGGTAAAACGTGGCTCTGTAGTAGATATGGGATAATCCTAATTAATTACAATCAACTACTTGTTCAAATAATTGTAATTAATCACACTTATCGTAATCGTGTGTGTGTATTATAAGTGGCTACGCGTCCTGAACAGTTATTTATATCAGCCAAGTTCTCTCTCTATAACCCAGGACAAAAAGCGACATTACTAACACACAGAAAACTAAATGAACACGAGTTTTAAATAAGAGGGTTGTTCCGACCATCTGCCAACCCTACAATGAAATTAGTAGTAAAATGCACCGTTTGTATAATTACCGTAGGGGAGTGAGGTAGAGGAAACAAGCTGCTGAAACTCCCTGCAAAATACTGATGTTTCTTTTGTGTATAAACATTGATCATTTAAATTAGCATAGATCACCAGGAACACCACCAGATAGTTAGGGTTTAATATATTCATGATCCTGAACTGTTGCCGACATAATTTTTTCCAGAATATGATACACTAATTAAATTTTCTATCGAGTTAAGATTTATTAGATAAAAATTAGTAAGTTTTGTCTTCTTGTATTATAAAATCATGAAGTTTATCTATATAACTAAGCTTAAACACATGCCAGACCTAAGCATCAACAGAAGATAATTAAGCTTTTACGTATAACATGACTAAGCTTCAACACATTATATTTACCACATAACTATGATAACCTTTAGCACATGACAGAGCTAAGCCTCACAACATTACACGGGTTATTATCGACATAAAAAAGCTGAGTTTCAACAGATGACGCAGTATAATGCTTACCATACCTAAGCTTAAAGGTGAGTTAGATCACCTCCAATAAATAACAGAGATAAAGTTCATTACATAATAGAGATTTTTACCTAAGCTTAACCCATTGGTTAAGCTTCAGCACCAAACAGCTTAGCTCCAACGCATAATGTAACTAACCTTCAACGCAAAACATAGAAAGCTTCAAGAAAAACACAATTAAGCTTCAACACGACATACCTAATATTGAACCCAGAAGAAATCTAAGCTTTACTACATACCACAACAAAGCTTCAATCTACATTATAGCTGAACCTTAACACGTTATATAATTAAGCTCCAACAAATAACATAGCTAAGCTTCAACACATTAGGCCTACATAACTGAGCTTATACATAGCATAACTAAGATTTAATAAATAACAAGTAAGCTTCATAACATAACTAAGATCAAACATATACATTAAGCTTCAATTCTTAATACTGCTAAAACTCAACACACATCAAAGGTAAGCTTCAGGATACATAGCTGGGGGCAAAGCTTCTCCGCTTCACCTCGTACAGTATACCAAGATGTTTAAAATAAAAACGAAAAGAAATTCGTTTAGAAAAAGGTGTGACTCATTGTTGAAATAATTTTATGCTTTTCTTTCCTGTTTTTTGTGTTTGGTTTTAAACTGGAAATAAAACAGCCAAGCAAAAGAAACTCTAGACAGCTGCTACGTCTAGAGTAACGTGTTTCAACCCTCCTAATTATTACTTGTACTATGCCCTTTAAAAGACAGTCGGTGTACAAGCAAATCGTAATATTCCCTTTAATTCATACAATATGAAAATGATACCAACTATTTTTTTTTTCTGGATGGAGAACATACGAGTACATAAAAGCAACCCCGAGGTGGAACATTATGCAATTATTTTTTACGGGTTTTGAGGAGAAAAAATGCTCATTGGATAGCAGGAGAAAGAGGTGGAAGAATATCAGAAATAATATCGAAGAAGGGCGTCTAGATGAAATATTCTGCTGTCTATATTAAAATTTAAACAGAATTAGAATGTAGACACTAAGACCTGAGGGAGTCAGAATGAGAAAATACAGGAAAAGTTTTTCGGGGGGGGGGCCAGGTTACAGTATAACGAACACACACACAAGTCATGAAAAATTAGCGAAGACACCGGAGGGGATTAAATGAGAGGGAGAAGCTTTTGAGGGTACAACAGGCGTTCTCACCTCGTATGTGGAGTGAAGCGAGTGCGGTACATCACTATACTGTACAGGAAAATATGTCGGGATAGCGTTGAAATTATGGATAAATTGGTTTGTTAAGCGATGGATAAAGATACAAAGTAGAGAATGAAAAATGTTACGTTGACAGTCACACAACTGAGCTTTAGTAAACAATGAAAGTGTTTGACGGCAGAATGGGTGTCGGAAACAGAGATGTGAGTGTACACTTTATGAGAGTGTTTCCCCTGTAACTCGAGTCTATGAAGTCCATCTTGTGAAATAAGAAAACTGTTATTGAAATATTGACACAAGAACAAGTGACTTACTGGCGGAATGTTGTTGTATGTGGGTGTTTATTAATGGTTTAAGTAGCAACGTTGATGTAAGGCAACAAAATGAAATTAAAGAGATATAGATCAGCCTTTTCGCCTATATCCAGGCTCCCAAAGCAACGAGTCCTGACAGAATATTGTTTTGATTATATTTATATTGGTGAAAAATGCATATTTTTTTTTTTACCCTGGACCCCAGTAAAGACCGGATAAGCTTAAATGATTTCCATAAAACTCGAGCTGTGGTATGGCAACAATGGAAGGTTTCACAGGTAAAATATGTCTTTTAACCTTCTTCAACCGAGTACTTAGCTACTATATGTCGCATCCTGGCAGCCCTGTGTTCGAGTCCAAATAGAAGTAGTGTGTGTGTGAGGAAAAATTTAAGGTGAGAATAGCAAGAGTCGTCACATTTCTTACAAAATTAAGTTAGAAAGTGGCAAAGAGTATATATAAAATTTGGGAAGTTGGAGAAAATCGCTTTTTGCAAACATGCCAAAAGTAACTACAGTGAGGATGAAAAAGAAGCATTGGTGCCAGTTCTTGGAGGTTGACAAGTGACAGACTCCTGAGCGAGAGTTACGAGAGGCGAGAACGTGACCTTAGAAGTGTGAGACAGTTTACATGAAGACGTAATTCAAGAGTAGTGTGATGTACTGCAGTGAACCTTGGGTCTATGCTATTAAACTGAGCGGAAATATTTTTGGTAGCATGGCCGGATTTGTTAGAAAGGGAGGGAGAGATGAGAGGGCGATAAAGAAGGGAGATTGGAAAGGAAGAAATAAATGGGTGATAAATGTACCCGTCTGACATCTTAGGAAAGGATGGGTAATATATAGAGAGGAGGAAAATGTACATAAGTAAAATATATGGGATGAAATGTGTAAAAAGACTGAGAGAGAGAAGGAAAGGATAGGGTGAGGAAAATTGTAAATAAAGCGTAAGGGTAAAGAGTAGGACAAGGACAGTAGAGACAAAGTTACCTTAAATTCCTCGTAATTACCATTGCTTCTTTCGTTACTCTCAATAAACAGATGTTTTATTGCAGGTGTGAAGGAGCAGGTGTTCCGCGTAACTCCCAGGAGCGTGCAGGTGAAGGTGGGAGAGGAGGTGCTGCTGCGCTGTGTGGTGGACAACCAACAAGGCAACGTTCAGTGGACCAAGAACGGCTTCGCTCTGGGTAAGTCTCCGCCTCCACCCAAACGTTCATACTTCATTCTCCCTCCAAAACTTTCCTAAATAAGCTATTTTTTTCTTTCGTTGACAATAGAAAACTCGCATGGCTGATTAATAGCAAGAAGTTGGTCATGTTAACGATGTGTTTCACCACAAGAAGCATAACTACAAAAGCTGATAAAATAATCATATGCGTATAATTATGCTGGTCAATGAAAACAATGTAACACTCAAGATAAAACAACCAAAACATGGAGGGCACTTGTACCCCCCCCAACCAACAAAGAAACCAGTGAAAGGATTGTTGATCAGCTCACCACAATTGATATAAAATGACAATTTCAACTCGAAAAGAATGGAAACAATTGTTAACAGCGGAGACACCAGTGCAGAGCTGCCAGACATACTGTACCAGGGCGGAGGGAGACAATATCTGCCCGAATCTATTAACACCTAAGTGCAGAACCCGGGACCCGTGTGAGAAGACCCTCGTCGACAATATGTGGGACCGATGATACAACGGGGACTGAGACCAGCTGTCTTGCGCCAGCTATACCAAGTGGACAAAAAACAGCTATACCAGTTAGACAAAGACCAGCTATACCAGTTAGACAAAGACCAGCTATATCAAGTGGACAAAGACTAGCTATATCAAGTGGACAAAGACCAGCTTTACCAAGTGCACAAAGACTATGATCGTCCATCTGCATCGGGCTAAGGCCAGTCCCTCCCAACCACAGTTAAAAATATCAGACACTTGTTAACTTGTATGTCCAGTACAGGTTTCCTCTTCTTCTCTATTTAAAGCTTATATTCAGTGACCAACTCCCAACTACTTATTTCATTTACATAATTTCTGTTCATTGTGTGTGCTCAGTCCTTGGCTGTCATTTTCTCTCCGTAAACCGTTAATTATTATCATTATTATTATTATTATTATTAATATCACACACACACACACACACACACACACACACACACACACACACACTAATAATGGTTACACTTCGTGACAGAGATTGACTGACCTAGGAACATCAAGGCGTCTGTTTATTTAAGGTGTAGAAATTGTCGCCAACACCACACCCTATGTTAACGAGTTACATGACCCAGTGCCTGGAATAGTCCGAGAAGACCGGACAACTCGCTAACTGTACTGGCTAACCATTACCCCGGAACACGATCTGCTAATCGATTAACCTCAAGTCCGCCAATTACTGTTGGGTAGACGGGGGTATATGGAGGAACGAAACTTGATCAGAGTTTCACCCTGCCCGGAGAAACACACGTACATACACAGACACAAATACATACACATAAGCACACACACCCACGCACATACACAAGCACCCTGGGGGGGGGGGGTCCATGGTCAATAGTAATACCAAATTGCACAACTTTGGGACCCATGTAATATGTGTAAAGTTTTAGGTCTCTTAACTGTTTTCGTTTTGGAGCTATGGCTGGAACAGGCAGACAGACACTCACGGATAGACACATCCTTTTATTATTATAGATTAAGATTTTTTTTTTTGTTAATTGCGATAAGTAACGCCAGACATATTACATGATTCATGGACCGCTTGTGCATTACGAATATCGAAAGTCAAAATTCCTGTCACTAATAACGGGTTATTGTTACGAGTCCAACGGCGTTTGAATTGGTAAATGTGGCCCAAGCGTTCAGTACCTACAACACCCCTGTGGCTGATTGATTGGCAGATGGCGTTACAGATGACAGTGCAAACAGAGAACGGTTTGTGACCACTAACAGTCAGCGTCAACACAATGTTCACTGTTGTCATTGTAATATCGTGCTCCGTCTTGATCACCATCCTCCAGTGTTACTTTATCATTAAGATTTTCTTCTGTGTTATCACTTGTTTGAATTTTCTCCGTTTCATAAACTGCAAAGTTTCCATTGCGTAAACTCATAAAAAATAATAAAAAAAAGATTGTGTCACTGAATGGTGGTGGAAGTATCTGTAATGATCACCTCAAAGTGCACAACTTTTTCTGCGGGAAATTATCTTCATTTTTTGTTTATCATTACAGACAAGAAGGAAAAAATGTATTCTTTAATACTTGTGTAAAGATATGTATATTAAGTATTCCGTGAACCTTCAGCAGATGACATCAACACGGTCATGTTTCAAGAATGTTGTTGATATCACACATGACCTGTCAATCTTCTCCCATCAGCCACTAAGTTGAAAACGCGGGGTAAAGTTGCACCAGCAGATGTCGTCAGTAGACGAGTCAAATTTACTTTGGACTAAACACATCGGAAACGCTGTTGTCGTCTTAGTGTAGCACTCTGGAATATCTACAACTCACCAACTCTACTCTATCCACCAGAGCTAACACAAACAACTCCCCGTCCGGTTTTTACTTTACAGAAACATTCAATTTTAACCCCCCCAAAAAATTCCAACTGAGCCAATCGAAAGTTCCAGGATATACCAACAGATTTTTGTTCACAATGAAGCTATACATTGTGAATGCTTGTGAGTGTGTCTATATGTCTGTTTTGTTATAATATAGTAACTAACATATATGTGTGTGTGTGTATGTGTGTGTGTGTGTGTGTGTGTGTGTGTGTTCCATATGTATATCCACAAGATTTGTAGACAGAGAGCTAAATTTTGGTAGATTGGTGCAGATGGCCAACTAGATTCTCGTGCACTACATTATCTACAGTATTTACATTACATCCTACCGCCAGCAACACGGTCATCCAGTCTTCTCATGTCCTTCATTAAAATCTGTACCGAGATAAATATTTCATTCGACAAAGAACCAAGTTTTGTTATATAAATGTAGTTATAAAATACAATACACACTAATTGCAATGTGTTGAGAAAAATAATATACACAGTAACAAGTGTCTAACTCTTAGGATCTAACGTAGAGTAATGGAACTATCTCTGAGTTGTACGAGATTACTAGGAAATGCTTCTCCCAGATTAAAGTCACTAACTAAACTTACAAACTAGAAATCACAAATTCAAAGGAAAGTTATCTAATGATGAAATACTGTACTGTCATTATTATGGAACGCGCGCACACACACTCACACACGCATGCACGCACTTCGACACGTAAACATGAAACTAGATTATGTTTTTCCTAGTTGACGTCACTCGTTAGTGTTTTTTTGTTATATTTTATCCTGTACACAAAAAAAAATTAAAAAAGGATATTTTCTGATAAGGATTCTAGTGTTGCAAAAGCTAAGAGGAAGAGCAACAGTTTAGAAACATTATCAAGCGTTTAGCAACAGTTTAGAAACATTATCAAGCGTTTAGCAACAGTTTGAGGCGAGTGAAAAAAAAACAATGTGTTGTATCCGAATAATAAGACTAAAATTAAAGCCAGCGGCGCCCTGTCGGTAACACCTTTAACTGGTACTAAATCATCTCACAGTCGGAGTGGCTTAATGGAGAACATGAAAAGACTCTTAAGTGCTTGAATTGATGATCAAAACCATAAAGCCGATGATAATTAAGGAGAAAATAAAAGGAAAGAAAAAAGATGAAAATAGAAAGAAGAAAACTGTGTGGTGATACTCAAGATTGATCAGTTGGTGTGAAGGACTTAAGTGGTGACACAACTTGTATGAAACTGGTAGTGCTGACACAGAAGTTGTTGACAATTATTCAGGGTTCAGCTCTGACAAGTATTAATCATTGACACATTATCTCTCAGACAAACGGACCTATTTGTCTTCAATTAATGTATTAAGGCTCTTCAGTGTTACTCCCGTACGTCAAGGCAATCTACAAACTGCCTCTTGAACTTGGTCTTATCCTGTGTGATGGTAAACATCTTCTTAATTAAATGATACAAAACAAATCGAACCATATAAGAATTAATTTACAATAAGTTGGAGCAATAAAATGACAACAAAGTTTTCCATATTTAGCAAAACTTACAGTCTATACATACGGATAACTCTGTCTCATTTAAAACGTCATTTATCATCATAAGATAGCCAAATTATACCTTAAGTAGGGCAGGGCAGGGCAGGGCAGGGCAGGGCAGGGCAGGGCAGGGCAGACTTTTATGAATCAATTCATTTATAATTTATATTGATCTGCATAGTTGTCTTTGACCAGTCAGTTGTTTTCAAATGCAAGAAATACATTGAAGTTATCGTTATGAGAGAGAGAGAGAGAGAGAGAGAATTATTGCTATTAGAGACGTCATAGGTAATTAAATAGATAGTTTATAGGTTAGTTAATATGACAAAGATCATTCCTTAATGATAATCAATTCACAAAGAGTTCACTAGAGAATATTAATTTTATTATTAATGTTGTTTATTATTTTTTACGGTAAAACTCCAATTGTTTAAGAGACAAAGCCCCTGAACTATCATCTTTAAGAACTATGTCTAAGGCCCTCGGGTGCCACTTGAGGCCACTTTCCTCTTGACACTGCTACTTGCATACTTTGACGCCATCACACAACAGGGTTTTAATTTCACCTTCAATTATGTAACAAAAAACAAACATGGATGAAGTACCATGTTGTAATGCCCGCTGGCCTTCGAGGGATATTGCTCAGCTTCAGTGTTAACTTTAAACTGGACTGTAAGGAAAACAATAATTGTACAACAAGACTCACACACCCTTGTTATGTTACCAGCTGTACAATTACGACCTCGTGGACCTCTAGTGGAGTGTGGAGGGTTGACAAGTGTAAGGGTGTTGTATTTCTTCCCCTTCACCAGAAAGTGGTCTTCAGTATTCACCAAACTTCAGTGCGTAATAATAAAAATGTTTCCACAATTAAAAATTAATTTTTAACACCAAAACTATCTTGAAGTATTGTTGTAGAAGTAAGGTGTCGTAGGGAGGAGACGGGAAGTTCCCCTCCTCCTCACTGCTCAGGGGAGGACACGAGGGGCAGGGGAGATGACCAAACTGCTGTTCCCTTCACCATCGAAATGTACCGAGAGTAGACGAGATAAATGTCTACGGACA